GCAAGAGGGCATGAGATCAGAATCAGAAGAGCTTTATTACCAAGTATGTTTACACACACAAGGAATTTGACTTGACGACAGGAGCTTCCAGTGTAGAAGAAAGTACAAACATAGTGCAGACATACATGATAGTGCAGACATACATAGGAATAACACAGTAGGGATGTAATATAACACTAATATAATAAAAAAAAAGAAAAATTGAATAATGTACTATATACAGAAATAGAAGTATAGGAACAAAAAGTAACAAAATGTTTTTTTTGTTAACTATAATAATCCTGATATCTGGAAAAAAAATAAAAATAAAATAAATATATATATATATAATAAGTAACAAGTAACAAAATGTTTTTTTTGTTAACTATAATAATCCTGATATCTGGAAAAAAAATAAAAATAAAATAAATATATATATATATAATAAGTAACAAGTAACAAAATGTTTTTTTTGTTAACTATAATAATCCTGATATCTGGAAAAAAAATAAAAATAAAATAAATATATATATATATAATAAGTAACAAGTAACAAAATGTTTTTTTTGTTAACTATAATAATCCTGATATCTGGAAAAAAAATAAAAATAAAATAAATATATATATATATAATAAGTAACAAGTAACAAAATGTTTTTTTTGTTAACTATAATAATCCTGATCTAATCTATTGTTTAACCTGAAATATTACTATAATAATTTTCATGCTGCCTGCCTTTCCAATGCACCAAAAATTACTAAAATATTATTTGTATTGAATCGAAGAATGTCCTTTTTTTGGTAAATGCCCATGTAAAGAGCTGTTCAGTCAGGCCGACTTTTTGACTATTTGACCATAGGTACCCTCCTTTTAAACAGTTTAATTTATGCTATAGCAAATTGTAGCAAAATTTACATTTGAGGTATAATTTGACTGCATGTAATTTATGTTCTAGAACAAAACATGAACATCTCTGTAAGTCTCATAATACTCAACTTGAACAGCTATTGAATGTGAAGCAGCAGCGAGGTATAAAAAGTGAATTCATCAGGGCCAGTAATTGTCAGTGTAAAGCCCAAGAAAACTGGGACAAATTAGAGCAAGAGAGAAAAAAAATGCACCATTTAATGCAATGATATAAGTTGTGTAATGCATCAGTGTTTCAGTGGAAGCCCTTGTGTAGCCGTGTCAGAAGCAATTCTGCTTCAGAGTAGCTGGAAGATAATATAATATAGTGCTGTAATTCCATGCCATGCTGTCATTGCACACACAGCGTTGGTGCGTTTGTCCCCTCTCAATGCCGTAGGGGTGCTGGAGTGGCCGTTCTGGACCAAGCTCATCGTGGTGGCGGTCGGCTTTGCTGGAGGACTCATCTTCATGTACATTCAGTGCAAAGTCTACCTGCAGCTCTGGAGGAGGCTGAAGGCTTTCAACAGGATCATCTTTGTACAGAACTGCCCCGACACCGTCCGCAGCGGAGAGAACAGGCCGCCCCCTGTCACCCAGAGCAACGGCACGCACAGGGCAGCGGAGCTTTCCGCCCCTCAGACACAAACAAACACAGGAGGAGTGGAAATGGCCCCTGTTTGACGATTGTTAAGACTGCACCAGACAGCCAGCTCTTTAACCTCCTGTCTGTAAGCAGACTCGTCTCCATCCTTGATGAGGCCGATGACTGTAGTGTCGTCTGCGAACTTCAGGAGCTTGACAGATGCAATGTAGTGTTATTCAGTATTGCTGTGTGATCCACTTATTATATCATTTAGTGTAGTACAGCTGGAATGTTGTATTGAACAATCAGAATCTAGTTTTGTAAGAGGATTATATTGTGGTGAATTGCAGTAGTGTTGTAAAGTAGCTTTTTATTTTATTTCTAAAGAATCATCAGTACTTTTGACAAAATGTGTTTATAAAATGGGTACTCCTCGTTTAAAATTAAAAATGTAACTAGGATTAAAATAAACATTTAAATCTAAAACTAAAAGATAATGTAATATATAAATGAATACTTTAATAAATAATAATATAATATAAACAATAATAAATACTAAAAAAGCTATTTTATTAGGCATAGTGTGGGTCACCCATTTTAAGATCACATGATATGCTTAAGTTAAAATTCAACTACTTTAAGTGTAAAAACACACGTTGTATTCAAGTTAAGCATCTTAAGTTGGTCAGCATCTGAGACGGAGTTATTTTTGTATCATTGAGACACTATTATAGGTTTGATTAATATTTAAAATTAGAATTCATATAATATTGAATTGATTAATATAATATTTGATTTATTTTCCATTTTAATTTTAAAGTTTGAGTCATTTTATTGTTTTTGTCATTTTATTAGTTATTGTGCCCTCTCAATGCCGTAGGGGTGCTGGAGTGGCCGTTCTGGACCAAGCTCATCGTGGTGGCGGTCGGCTTTGCTGGAGGACTCATCTTCATGTACATTCAGTGCAAAGTCTACCTGCAGCTCTGGAGGAGGCTGAAGGCTTTCAACAGGATCATCTTTGTACAGAACTGCCCCGACACCGTCCGCAGCGGAGAGAACAGGCCGCCCCCTGTCACCCAGAGCAACGGCACGCACAGGGCAGCGGAGCTTTCCGCCCCTCAGACACAAACAAACACAGGAGTGGAAATGGCCCCTGTTTGACGACGGATGCTTGGTGCTCTGAAACTCAGTAGCTGAAAAGTTCAGGAAAGGGCTCCTGGTGTATATGACCAAAGTGATGTGATTTACATAAAAGCACTTTTTTATTTTTATTAGAGGGTCGGAAAGCTTATATAAGAAGTTTATATAGGGCTGTCAGATTATAACGTAAATTTTACAAAACATGGTGTAAAAACATTACCGCATATAGTCATAACCCCAATCTATACGTAAATAGTGTAATAAGGCATTTCCTTATTGTCTGAGCCATTTATGCTTAAACAACCTTCATGTTTTTTTTTTGTGAGTCTGCAGTCATATCATTAAGACTTATTAAAAAGGCAAGACACTTTAGGCAAAAACTTTTTTTTTTTTCATGCACTGGTCAGTTTCGAGATTTTGTGCTATTTGTATGACAAGTGTAAAGAAAACATCCAAAAGAGACACATTTAAGTGTTTTTATTATTATTATTGCACTTTGCATCTATAGATTTTCATATAGGGCTGTCAGATTATAACGTATATTTTACAAAATGTAAATAGTGTAATAAGGCATTTCCTTATTGTCTGAGCCATTTATGCTTAAACAACTTTCATGTTTTTTTTGTGAGTCTGCAGTCATATCATTAAGACTTATTAAAAAGGCAAGACACTTTAGGCAAAAACTGTTTTTTTTTTTCATGCACTGGTCAGTTTTGAGATTTTGTGCTATTTGTATGTTTCAGACTAGTGTAAAGAAAACATCCAAAAGAGACACATTTAAGTGTTTTTATTATTATTATTGCACTTTGCATCTATAGATTTTCTCATAAAGAGTTTTTTCATGCACCAAACTTTACCTAAACTTTATTCTAAAGGGTTTTACTGAAGGGTTTGTTCATATATAATTTTCCTGATTTTATACATTTTATTCCTAAAAACATGGTGAAAACATATTTTTCTTAGTTGACAGTATTTTCTGATTTATCAAGTGATTAAAAGATAGGATCTAAAATCCCCTATGCAAAAACTTTTGGCTCTAATATGTCAGCAAATGAAACAAGAATTTTGAACCTGTGCAAATTAGTGCTTGTTTAATTAGATTAAATTTGCATATTCAAACATAACATTTCAGGAAAAAAAAATGTTTGCAATTTTTTATGTAATCAGTCAACAGGGGACATTTGGTGGTATCTATCAGTTAAAGGAACTGTTCCCAAAATGAAAATTTACTCACTCTCAGGCCATCCAAGATGTAGGTGACTTTGTTTTTTCATCAGAACAATATGAAATGTAGCATTACATCACTTGCTCACCAGTGAATGGGTGCCGTCAGAATGAGAGTCCAAACAGCTGATAGAAGTTAAAAAAAAATTCTCCAAATCTGTTCTAATGAAGAAACAAACTCGTCTACATCTTGGATGGTCTGAGAGGGAGTACATTTTCATTTTTGGGTGAACTGTTTCTTTAAATGTTTTATCCTATTCACCTGTGGTGTCTTGCCTTAATTGATTGGCAGCCCTATTGTATAGCTTAGATATATTTCTTACTGCTTAGATGTAAAAATTCTTTCATTCATAACATGTTCTGAAGTGATTTAGCTGTTCTCTGCTGCTTCGTAGATTAGCGAGAACTCTGTGACATCTGAATGTAACGGGATCAGAGGTGAACACTGCAGTTACAGCAGTCATTATTCATGGCACAGAAGTCAATCCTCTAGATCAGGAGTGTCAAGCTCAATTCCCAGAGGGCCGGAGCCCTACAGAGTTTAGATTCAATCCTAATCAAACACACCTGATCCAAAACTACATGGTATGTGTGTTGGAGCAGGGTTGGAACAAAACTCTGCAGGGCTCCGGACCTCCAGGAATTGAGTTTGACCTGCTCTAGAGCTTTGGCTCTCTCCTCAACTGTCCTTACAAAGAAATAGAATTAAATTCATTTAAAGTCTTCAACAAACCAAAGATACAAGATACATTTACATTGATAAATAGCTTGTATTCTTCAATCTTTTTAACACAATTACTTAGTTTTCAGTGATCTGTAAGAAAAGGTTGTAAATGTGTATTTTTTTCTGTTTTATATATATATATATATATATATATATACACACACACACACACACACAAGAAAATATACACATTGTCATTAGTCTTCAAAAAAGTCAACTGAATAAAAAAAGTTGTAATAAGAATGCAGTGGATACAAGCAATTCAGTGATAAGGTGATATGAGACAAACTTTCTTGGGTTACACTTTATTTTAAGGTGTTCTTATATTTTAATATACCTATTAATAATTTAATTTCATTACTTTATTATCAATAAATTAGTGTTATTACTATAGTAAGTATGTGTAACAAAAACAAAGTGTTACCCATTTCTTGCTTTAAAAAAAATTCACACAATAACCTTTTGGCATGTTTATCGGTCTAAAATAAATGGGTAACTATGGTAACCAGGATGGCATTAAGTACAGGATCTATTTTTATTTTCTTTTTAAAAACTTATGCAGCTTTTGAGGAGGTATGTTTTGAAGGGTTTGTGGAGAATAGTGTTTAGTTATTTGTAAGACAGATTTAATATGCAGGTTTGGAGGCGATCATCTTTTGCCGAGTGTTATTCAGAAAGAATTCAGCAAATTAAAAAAAAATTTTGTATTGTAATTTTCTGCAGTGGTGATCTTGATATATTAAAATAATTATAAAACAAACACACATAGGGCCATGCCAGGATCATGAGATGATCAACATCAGTGTTCACAACTCGGATGCACATTATAAAAGAAACATGCAAAAATCAGTCCGTGCAATAAACCAGTGAATGTCTCAAACGGTTTCAAAGTCTCTGTTTATTTATGAACTAATGATACTGTTACCTGAGTGACTAAGTAACACCCTTCCTCACAACAACATATTTTTGCAAGAGGCTTAGTGCACTCTGGTTACTAGTAGGAAGCACTAGTAACACAAAGCAACGTCTTGCTCTTTCTGTCCTTACACAGCATGATGTCCATTCCTCTACTGTAAACTGTAGTAGAGCTGCAGGATTGCTATAGGTCTGTATCAGAATTCCGAGATGCATCTTCCTTATTCTCTTCTTCCATGTGTTTATCTTGTGAAACTGCAGACACGGTGCTATCAGAGCCTTTGGCTGAAACCTTTCTCATCTTAATGTTGGGGAGTTTCTTGAGGTCCCCGGTCCACTCTCTATCAAACAAATGTGGCTCAAGGTTAGACGGGTTTGATATGTTAAGGGTTGAAGGGTTGAACTTTACATCGCTAGTTCCAGAAATTCTTTAAATCTGAAGACTTGCTATGAACAGTTTTAAAGAACATACTTTTAAGCAGTAATTACCTGAATATTTTCAGATGCTTAGAGTTGATGATATCAGGGATTTCTGTAAGGTGAAAAAAGAAAGACAACTTTTAACCATATATAGCATGATGTTGCCTAAGGATAACGAAGATTAACAAGAACATTATGCATATAGAATGGCAATAAATGGTTAATAACGAAGGATGACTTTAGTTAAACCAATACAAATATTTGCATGGCTTGAGGAGGATGCACATTCTTGCTCTAATGCACTCACCTTGGAAAAACATAATTAACTATGTGTGTGTGTGCAGCTAGAAGTATTCAAGCAGGAAACATTTTATACAAGCATTCTTAGCACTGCTCACATAAAACTCTTAAATGGCAGGAAACAAAAAGCTATGTGTGTGTGTGTGTGCAGCTAGAAGTATTCAAGCAGGAAACATTTTATACAAGCATTCTTAGCACTGCTCACATAAAACTCTTAAATGGCAGGAAACAAAAAAAAGATAAAGGAGACCTATACAAAAGTTAATGCGAATATTGGAAACATACCAAAGCCATTGCCTTCATACTGAGCTCTCTCTCGCTCCATTGTTTGTTTGATGATAGCTTCTCTAGAGCCGTGCTGACGACCCTGTCGTCCTTTAATACTGTTCGCTAACTCAATCTGCTCCAGCTCTCCATCAAACCGGTGAAGGTACCTGAGAAAGAAGACATGAACCAAGATGCCCGTTTTATTATTATTATTCTCAATATACAGCATTTTCAACTAAATCGAAGACAGTGCTGTGTACTAGAACTTTACAAGTCAAAACAACATTTGCTTAGGATTGTCATACCTCTCAATTATATTACAAGCATCTTGTTTGGTGTATTCTGACTTGTCAGGGTCCAGCTGGCTTTGGAACCACAACAGTTTTTCACCTGCAGAAAATGAGTTAAGCGGCTTAGAGGAATCTCTAAGTTTATGAAAGGTTCTATTATGAACGAATGTTCTACGTTACTAGAACACTCGTTCAAAGTTATGTGGTCTTTAATAACGACCTCCCAAAATGTTAGCACAAAAACATCATTTGGACATCGTTCATGGGACATTATTCTGAAAGGTTTTAGTTTGACATTCGTCTAACGGTTTTTTTTTTTCCCTCGAACGTTACTACTTCAGAGGACATCAGAGTAGCATTCCCAAAATGTGTACAACATGGTAAAACTGAATATTCGCCTAATGTTTTCTCTAACGTTCAAATGACCAAGAAACCCGTTTTTAAAACATGTTAAAAACAACAAGGACGTCTTAAGAACATTCAAATAACGTTTGGGAACATACTTTAGTATAACACACTGGTATACTTTGACAAACTGGTCAACAAACAAGCTTTCAGAAGACAGTTCAAAATAAAAATCAACTACTCACCAATCAAATTTAGACGCTGTGCCTTTTCACCCTTTAACCTAGAAGTGATTTTAACACATATTCCATTTACAGACGTAAAAGCATAAAAAGTAACCGTGGCAGTACGAAAAACGTTTTATTTTCGTGAGTAAATGTAAAGTGAAGCAGAAACGACTCGTACTTTTCTTTCCTCTGTTGTTTGATGGCAGCGCTTGCTAAATATGCAGCTTTTCTGCTGTATGGGTGAATAGTCTTCTTCTCCACCTGTCCCTTCCCTTTCGCTGCCTTCGGCTGAAGTGAGAATCCTAATTATTAAACACGCCATTCAAGGTAATTTTTAATTAAATAAAGTTTTAAACCAAAAACTTACCATATTTGTTGATATAAGAGAAAGTCTGTCTTTCACACGTGTGACGTACGGGGGGAGATTTGAGGCACGGACCGCTGAAGCGGTTCTACGGTATTTTTGTTCCGTGTATTATTGACATTAGTCATGAGTTCCGCCGGAATCAATATTCTTTATTCACACGATGAAATGATCAGAAAATAATGTTTTTGTAATGTATTTCTTATAAACTTTCAAAATTACTTTATGACAATGGAAACAAGAAAAATCTATTTAGTTTTTGACACAAATTACTATTATAGTAATATTCTTTTTATATTGCATTTTGTGCATTCAATATAATTCAATATACCTGTTGTCAATAAAAACGATTTAGCTTTTAATCTGGATTTTTTTTTTTTCGTATTTCACTCTTTTTTATTTTTTTTGGAATTTCTCTTTTTATTTTCATTTCATTTCATCATTTTTTCATGAATGTATTTTCTAGTTAGAAGGGTTATAATTCCATTTTTTTTTTCAGAAAGAGTGAGAGAGAGAGAACAATATGCATTGAATTGAACGAAAATTGAATATATTTAAACCATATTCTCTATTGATATCATCCACTTAATTTAAACTGAATCATATATTTTTAAATGGAAAAAACAAGAACAAATAGAACTAATCAAAATGCTCATTTTAATAATTTTCCAACTGTACGGTTGTCTTTTATCTGCTTTAGCTGTTTTATATTGATGCAGCTTTTCTGCTGTATGGGTGAATAGCCTTCTTCTCCACCTGTCCCTTCCCTTTCGCTGCCTTCGGCTGAAGTGAGAATCCTAATTATTAAACACGCCGTTCAAGGTAATCTTTAATTAAATAAAGTTTTTAACCAAAAACTTACCATATTTGTTGATATAAGAGAAAGCCTGTCTTTCACACGTGTGACGTACGGGGGGAGATTTGAGGCACGGACCGCTGAAGCGGTTCTACGGTATTTTTGTTCCGTGTATTATTGACATTAGTCATGAGTTCCGCCGGAATCAATATTCTTTATTCACACGATGAAATGATCAGAAAATAATGTTTTTGTAATGTATTTCTTATAAACTTTCAAAATTACTTTATGACAATGGAAACAAGAAAAATCTATTTAGTTTTTGACACAAATGACTATTTAATATTCTTTTTATATTGCATTTTGTGCATTCAATATAATTAAATATACCTGTTGTCAATAAAAACGATTTAACTTTTAATCTGGATTTTTTTTTTTTCGTATTTCACTGTGTCTTTTTTATTTTTTTTGGAATTTCTCTTTTTATTTTCATTTCATTTCATCATTTTTTCATGAATGTATTTTCTAGTTAACTTGTGTTCTGCAGTGAGGGACTACTGAATCTATGTGCAAATGACCAAAAAGAAGGAAGGAAAGGAAAACCCTGTGTGTCCGTGTCTCCTCAGCAGAGAGCGCCCGCGGGTCACCGACAGTCTGTCGCAGCTCAGCTGGTGCATATGTCACATGACTCCAGCATGGATCTTCAGCAGGGACCTGAGCGCTCGCCCTGATGGGGAAACGAGAATCCCGGAGTGCGTGTTTGTGATAAACGGAGCGCGAGCATGCCGACGCTGCTGCAGAAGCTCTTCGGCAAGAGAGCGGTCGGTAACGGCAGCGCCCGGGACTGCTGTACGGCGGCGGAGCAGTGGTAAGAGCGCTAGCACGCGCACATACTACACCTATGGATATGCAGTCACGAGCTCTTCACACCTGCACGCGCCAGTCTGTGCGCTTTATATGACACTCACTTTGATATTCTCCGCGGCAGACAGCTGTTTTTTTTTCTACAAGAAAGACTAGGTGGTGCAAATACGTGCGAGTTTATGATCACCATTTTATTGTGTCATCGCTTGCAGGCCATCGAGTTACTTCATCTATATGTGGAGTCCAGTCAGCTGAGCGCCAGTCCATGCGTTATGTAACTCTTTCAGTGCATTTATGCTTGCACAATACTTGCAAGTTGTGACCGGTTTTTATTTTGAGAGTACAACAATTATGCATTTCTGCTGTGTGTTTCCCCCTATATTCTAGTCAGAGTGGGTGGAGAGGGGCTTTCTGGGAGAGTCGAGTAGAAAGCATACAGATAAACCCAATGTTATATTTCCTCGGTGTTTGCTCTCAACTGAAATTAGAAGAAAACATCTATATCAAAAAGCCATAGAAATATAATTTAGCACAAAAAAAGTGGTTTAGTGGCAATTTGTCCCATGTTAGAAGAAATCATGTAAACATGATTTAGGAATGAAAAAGTAAGTGTGTGTGTGCGTATACATACACGTACATACATACATATATATCATTTATTTGATCAAAAATGCAGTAAAAACAGCAAAATTGTGAAATATTATTACAATTTAAAATACGTGTTTTTATGTTAATATATTGTCAAATATAACTTATTCCTGTGATGCAAAGCTGAATTTTCAGCATCATTACACCAGTCTTCAGTGTCACATGTACAGTTGTGTTGCTTGTTTGTTTGTTTTTTGACACCTGTGATACTTTTTAGGATTCTTTGATGAACAAAAAGTAAAAAAGAACAGCATTTACTTAAAATCTTTTGTAACGATATACACTACCGTTCAAAAGTTTGGGGTCAGTAAATGTTTTTTCTTTCTTTTTTAAAAGAAATGAATACTTTTATTCAGCAAGGATGTGTAAAATTGATAAAAAGTGACGGTAAAGACTTATATTGTTACAAAAGGTTTCTATTTTGAATAAATGCTGTTCTTTGTAACTTTTTATTCATCAAAGAATCCTGAAAAAATTATCACAGGTTCCAAAAATATATATATATATATATTAAGCAGCAAAAACGGTTTGATAATAAATCAGCATATTAGAAAGATTTCTGAAGGATCATGTGACACTGAAGACTGGAGTAATGATGCTGAAAATTCAGCTTTGCATCACAGCAATAAATTATATTTTAAAGTATATTCAAATAGAACACTGTTATTTTAAATTGTAATAATATTTCACAATATTAC